TATATAGGATATGTTATGGGCTGTTTCGGTGAATTATTGGGGTTGAATTCGTGAATAAATTCTATCTTTGTTTGTCGAGTATGTTTCTTTCTTTCTCGTTTTATTTATTAGTTTCTTTTCTATCTCTTTTCCAAGGTAAGGTGCAGTTAACAATTAGCCTTATAATGCATTGATTATTCTATTCATAAATGATCACCTACTGGCCTGACACGTGAGTAACTTCCATTGCATATGGAGGTAACATATGTTCCATAGAAAATCGTGCGATCTATTCCAGGAAAACCAACAAACAATTCAAAACTATTGATTAACGATAAACATAAAATAACGATAAAGGTATTTTCTGCGTTTATTATTAATGAGCAGTTTTGCATTGTTTGTTGGTTTTTCTGAAATACGTCGCACGATTCTCATTATGTTACCTCTATATTTAATGGTAGTTACTCGTTTATCAGGGTAGTAGGTAACCATTTATAAATAAAATATTCAGTGCATTATAAGGTTAATGTATTGCTAATAGAGCTTATCGAATAACGTCATTGTTTTTATGTATCTGAATATTCCTACCTGGAATATTTTTAATTTTGTTGAGACACCGCAAAGTTGCTATGCGTTTGCAACTAAAATCGTGTGGTCGTTTCGCTGGCACCGAGTGCCTAAAACTCAGAGTAGTAAAAACTTTCATGAAGGTCAACGAGGTCTTTAGTTTACTCGAAACTTCTAAGAACCCCCTTAATGAGGGCTACAATTCATTCGTTAGCATTTCACCAGCTGTTTTAATAATTATTAATGTTCCTTTTATTATTCTGAATATTAGTAACTGTACTATTATTAATATTTCTCTTGGTCAGTTTGCATAACAATCCGCTCGTCAACGTGAGAATTTCGTGTTACAATGTCATTGAAAAGATAATCACGACCGCGAGCACGGATATTAATTAAAGAAACGTCTACGTATCTCGGAGAAATACATCGTCAATTGAAACTTCAGTTTCGCTGAGTCGTCAGTTTTGCATTTCGTCAAACGAATTTATGTCATACTTATATGAAGAGGTTCTTTCGCCCTTGTGCTTATTTTTTTTATTTCGAGGAAGAGAACGAAGCGAGCTAATTTTAAAACTAACCCATTTATAGACATTCCACCACAAATACTGTTTCCGTTGACATTTGTAAACTTTTCACTGTTATTAGCTACACTTTCTGTGCATATTTATGACACATATGAAAGTGAACGGAAAACTTTCATGATACGATCTCGACGTTCAGTTTACTGAGTTCGAGCTATCTCGTGACCCTCGACGCAATGCATTTGAGTGTATGAAAGCGATGATTCAGACGAAAGTCACTTATAAGTTACGCAACATTTTTAAATTTACTTCATCCACAAACAACATTTTCACTGAAGATTATCGCATATAACGTTCAAAGTAAGTGTTCAAAACAGTAAGGAATCATGCAGAAAGATCGAAACAGGCGCTAGAAGTTTAACAAATCGATATATTTTCAGTACGATTCTATAATCTAGATTTCTGTTATTTCCTCAAATTTTCTAGGAATCATTCGTCGTATCGACTGACAGAGCGACTGTAACATACATGCGATCCTCTAATCGTTTCGAGCGGTGTGTAATCGTCTGGTAATCGTTAGGTCATCCTATAAGTTGTGCTACCTTTTCTCAGAACTGAATTTAAAACAATACAATTCGACGTGGTCGTCACTTGTCTGCTTGGTATAAGTAGTATCTTAATAGTGACAAAGGAATTAATGAAATTGCAAGAGTAATATGATGAGACTGTTAGAGTAAATCAGTACCTAAAGAAACTTCAAGAAATCTCGAGTAGATCTTAACCTTCAAGGACACGGACATTTTTTCGTAATTCTAAAAGGCTTTTCGTTTATCTATCAACTTAATAATTTTCTATTTTTAATAGTACATAATTAGGATGAAGGAAAACATTTGTCGAATAAAAAAATGTAGAAAAATGAGAGATTTCTCCGTACCGGTAGGATGCAGTATACGCAACCCCTATCCTTAAGGGTTAATGAGAACTCTGGTGCTCGAGAAGCACTGTGGAACTACACGAAGACATTCCACGCGTTATTACGTTCATCGGTAAATATCGAAGAATCGACGCAAACGTTGAAAATACATCAAACACCGATTACCGTCAAAACAAGTTGTTTACTCTTGTTAACATAGCGACAAAAAAACCGCAATACTTATTACTTAATCAAATCAAGGAACAGCACGGAAGCATCTCGCGAAGGATAAGCGTCAGCAAATTATACATTATTACAGCTCAACGAATCCGATATCTCGGATATAATGAGTCGACGGTGTCGACGAGTAGGCTCGATCGGAGAAATAAATAACGTCGCGTGCGGTTAACGAGTGCGTATCGCCTTCTTGTGCGGTCAGTGTTGCTGGCCTTGGGGGAAGTTCTCGCAAGCGGGCGGGCGGTTGGAGGGGCAGGAAAAGTTAAAAATGCCGACGGAAAGTCGATACCGTGGAGATACGTGCTTTCAACGGCCGGTGAAAATCTGTTTCTTTAACAGTCCACCGCCCACAGCGCGTCTGGTGAAGAAAGTTTGGTGGATACGAATTCAAATTTCAGATTTTTATGATTCATTTGTACATATTTCAACGGATGAATCCGCTCACTACATCTTCTTGATGTCTTGTACACAATTTTTTTTCATAAAAATAAGAACCAATCGTCATTTTAAGACTATTCTACACATTTTTAAAAATATTTTTACCTTCTTTTTTATAAACAGTATGTTTGCTCGTGACAAATGAGAGCATTAGTGGTCACAGTAACACGGTTTTTCTAATGTTTGGATGTCATTTAGGAAAGGTTCGTACTGCTGATCATCAACAAATAGTCCAAGTATTGTCGCTAAAGTGATAATGTAAGCGACAACTGTAGTGGACAAATGCAGTTAGCGTTTTAAATCATTAGAGTTACAGTGTTACAAAATATTATTGTATTACGTCATACAAAATTGTTCTTGCTTTTCCTACTATGGAAATTTTTCGTGGCGTGCACACACGATATCTGCTCTCATTGATTTTATGGGGGTGGGGGCCGAATATATTCATTGGCGTGTCTTCGCCACGCCGGACCGAATACTTTTGTCACGTGTCTGTGGAAACCACGAGAGAGGGGGGGGGGGCGTAAACGGTCGATTCGGAAACGTCGCGTCGTGGTGAATGTTTGCACCAAAATTCGCGTGCTCGCACGAAATCATTCATGGTACTCGATATCATTGATGTATACGAGGAGGAATGCTTTTTTCTCCAGATTAGCTTCTCTTCAAGGAATTCAGCAGTTTATCGTTTTAAGATAAACAGTATCTGACCAAAAAATTAGGGCGACCCGTAAGTTTTCATTATCACGAAAAATTTGGAGAATTATAGAAGTCCATAATTTATTGGCCGGGGACTGTAGATATTTATGGATTAACGTGAAACAAACTGGAATCGAACAGAAATTTGCATCGCTGTATCAAGGGTCCTTGTTGGTTCTGAGTGAGATGAAAGGATCATTAAACTTTACTAAACCGTTGTTGCTGTCAGTTACTTGTAGGCAGTCAGGTGTGATGCAAGCGCATCAACATCCGCAGTTTAGTTATGTCATAGATAGACCATTTTGGTACCGAATATCTTCTGAAGCGTAATTGTTTGACAGATGGCAATGTATAGTAATTTTATAATGTGAAAAGGTCATGCCTTTCAGGTGATATAACAAATAATTACTGATACATAATGCATTGTTAATTCGTAGGGAGTGAACAAAAGGACATTTAAAAAATATTTTGAGATAAGTTATGGGTCACTATTTGTTATCGTTCAATAAGAGTTTTAAATCGTAAATTGTACTTCCTCTGACTCGAACGATCCTATTCTACTGCACTATATAAGCAAGAATTGATTTGATTATAGCGTTAAGTCGTAATCTTTGTTTCGCCTGACTCGGACGATCCTATTCTACTTCAATATTACGGTATAGTTATCCACAAGAATCCAATAAGCCAGGGCTAATGGGATATTTTCTTTGCAGTATCTTACTCGGTTGGTACGTCCTCTATCATTTGATGGGAATTTGTATAACCCGTAACCCGAACCGAATTCTACTTCAACATATTCGACGTACATTTGTTGCGAGTATGTTATATGTATAATCCAGTCTTACGTAATCCAGTCAGAATATTTAATTGTTATCTTCATTTGCTTGTTGTATTAACGAGAGACAGTCTCGTAACGAATTGTTCCACCCGATTCTCTTACACTATCTGATAAAAGAGTCGGTAACAAGTGAACCTTCGTTAGACTGATTGGAACGGTTCTATTCTACTCTGCTTCTGTTTGTATTCTATCTTGTAGCCTCCAATTGAACTGAATTAACAAGACAGTTCGTTAACGACAGCACACAATTCGTTTTAAAATAAAACGGAATAGCATCAATTCGACAAAACTTACGAAAAACGTAATCTATATTTGTTTAACCTCGAACGTTTCCAGGAAGTTGACACATTTCCAATGGTCGTGACAGTGTAATCAACAATTTATCGAACACGCTTCGAAGACATTGTATCGTTTATGTTTCTGTTTTAAAACGTAAATTTTATTGGTCTGACTGGGACGATCTTATACTACTTTAGCCACTCTAAATACTTATATTCCAGCAGAGTTAGGCAAAATATAATCTACTTAATAAAATAAATAATATAAACGTAATGTATAATTAATAAAATGAATAATGTAATTAATAAGAACAATAAAAGAAATGTAATCCAGCCATGAATCAAATCTACTATATACCAAATCTTTGTCACGAATCACTTGCAGCTACAATCATTCGTGATTCATTACAAGAAAATCAAACGAAACATGCTCAATACTAACACATAGTTAATAGTATAAGTAATGTACTTAATAATCCAATACTGAGAAATTGGGAACTATTATTAAGATCAACGCTATTCCTGTGTTTCAGGTACGAAAGGCTCCTCAGACGAGCAAAGACGGAGGATCTGTCGGAAGTTTCCGGGATCGGTTGCCTCTATCAAAGTGGGGTCGATCGCCAGGGTCGACCGGTCGTTGTTTTCGTCGGAAAATGGTTCCCCGCCACCAAGATCAACCTGGACAAGGTAAGATTACGACTTATCCTCGCTACAAAGCGGGAATCTCCAACAATTATTGCGCACGGTTTCGAGCTACCTGTCTGAGAATTCGATTACACTGACAGTCTAATACTTGCTGACGTAGTATTTCAATGGACCAGGCCGCAGTGAGATAACCGAGTACAAATATCGAACATTCGTGCAGTCCTGTAAAGGATACGCAGATCATGCATAAAGTCATCAAATATTAACTCGTTCGCTACCAGCACATTATTCCGAAAATGTTCGTCACAGACTTTGCTAGATTTTCAGCAATCTATTCCATGGAATATCTCAATGGAAAATGCACAAAGCAGAACCTAACCCAGAACGAATATACACGCGTTTTAGATAAGTCTTCACAATCGACTTTCTCGAGAAAGCTCAGAAATATTTTTTCCTACACTTTTAATCTATTTTTTCATATAATCATATCCTGCCCGTTTGTGCTACTTATGCATGACCGATTCCGGAAAATCGAACATACTCTGTATTAAACCGTTTCTAAATTTACTTTCACAATTTTTTATGTTCCTGTATAAAACAGCACTTGGTATATTACAGGAAGGGAAAACTAAGAGTTTCGGAAAAGTATAAAAGTAAAATTATCTATGTTTATTTGGTTTTGAAATTGAATATTTTGGTTTATAGCCTATAGGGGTCTGTAAAATACAATGAAGGATAAGACTTTCTTCAGATCCAAAGAGTTATCTATTTTATCCTTAGCCCAATTTGATACTTATAAGAAGAAAGAAATTCCTACATTTGATCTTGTCTTTATGAATTACTTTAAAAAATATCATTTTGTATAAAAATTCGCAGTCTAGTGAAGACACGTACTACCTTGAGCATCTGGAATGTCTAGTCACATTAAATGAATCACCCTCCGGAACAATTTCAATAATTAAATAGGTTTCATATTTCAAGTAAATATCGTTCGTTTCTCGTTTTTCTGTGATCGGAGTAGAGTCGAACGTTGCATTGTCGATAGCAGGAGCAGGCATCGTGGTAAACGCTCGCGATAAAAGAAAGGCGTCGAGTTCGAGGGACGCGAGCGTGCTTCGAAATCGATACGCAAGTGCGTCTGCGGTTCTCGGTCGATTGTACTCGCCTCTTCTATTATGGGCTGACGTGTTCAGCGGTTCTTCGCAAGCCGATCGATCCGTTTAGCATACCCACGAACGGACGGAGAGAAAATTGGCTACGGTTTTCACGAAAGAGAATTCGTAACCGTGTCTTAGAATCCGAGCATCGCCCAATGTCCATCCGTGTCATATTTAAAGAGTCGTGGTACTGGTGAATCGAGTTCATCGATAAATTTATCGAACAATCAGGAATAATTGAGGGCAAAAAGGAGAACGACGTTTCGTTAAACGTGGACTCGTTCGGCTGGTAATGAGAAACTCTTATAAATAATTAACGACCTGACATCCGAGGAGCTTAAAGGGAACGTTCACCTGCAGTCGAAGCGTTAATTTATGATTGATTTGTCACATTGTTCACTTTTTATACTATATTAGAATGATTCATAAATAACACGTCACCGACACTGCGGAGTGTATTAATAATTGTGAATCATATTGATGTATGCTTCCTTTTAAATAACTGCACCAGGATACGTTTTGTTTCAATTTTGCGACTAGCGGATTGTAATAAAATTTTGTGGATTTATAGAGTGATTTAAGATGGGAATAATGGTGTGGTTCATTCGAGCCCAGTCGCCTTTAAGGGTACGAAAATTAACCTCGAATTCAAATAGGCACTCCCACATTTTCGAGTTTAACTCTTAAAGTACAAGAGATAGAAAAAAGTGTGTCAAACGAAACATTAATGGTAGAGTAAACACTATAAACTTGCATTAACCAAATTTTTAGAAAAGTTGTTTCTTTAAAATAAAATTTAAAATACTTTTTTTCCAAATTTTTGTAAACTCTCGAAATTTTGATTTCGGACCAATTTCACATCGAGATATCGTGGGCACCGTTTGCACAGTGCAATTTTTAATCAACATGATTAACGCCACGGTGCACGAATATTCAAGCAAAACTTTTTTTCATTTACTTGAATATATAACAAATAAAGGCCAGGAATTATTTTTCACATGCATTCTCTTTTTCAAGGCTTCCGTCCCATAAACCACGAAACACTAAAATAATAGTGCGTGTCGAGTGCATACGAAACGTTATTTATTTACGTCGTGGGATTGATGTCCGAGATACACGCGACAGAATTAATTTCGAGTAGTGCACGTTGACGCGCCTAATGATAAATTCTTCCTGTTCTCGGCTGTTCGGTGGAAACTGTCGTTTCGAGAAATCGCATGCTCCGTGGGCATGGCGAATCGAACGCAGAGTTGGACAGAATTTAATTCGAATAATACACAGTGAAAAGCAGTTTAAACAGTTAATGAAATTAAATAATTGTTCGTCAAATGTCGATTCATTCATAAAGAAGTATTATTTTCCTTATAAAAATTGAAATTTCCACGTTTAAACAATTAAAAATGAAGAAATACTTTTTTTTATCTTTTATTCGATATTCGAAATTTTTTATCTAGACAAGGAGTTTGCCCATCTCTGATCGAAGGGAATAACGTGCAACCTCGAGCGATGAAGCGACGTTTAATACTAGAAGCGGGGAACCACGCGTCGAATTATTCATTCGATCGATCGAATTGTTCGCCGTCGGTGTGTTTATTCGGTGATCCGGCATGTGGGGACTATCGCCGCTTGATCATTCCGTCCAGGGCCCTTTAAACGATCTTCTCGCATCACTGACGCTGCTGCCACCCGACGACACACGGGGCTCGGAATTGAACACGATCCGTGAAAGTTCAGATTTTCGTGATATGCGATGGTTGCCGATACTTTCTTCAGACAATCTACTATTTCGTCTCGAAAGCAAAGGAACGGGATAGATCTGCGAAAATGACGAGAAATAAATACTTGAAGGTCTTACAATTGAAGCAGATCCATGCAAATTGCAGGCACAAATCGATTATAACTGCCATGACAACTTCGAGAAACATTCGGAAGAAATCTGCAAAATTGCAAAAACTCCCGAAAAGTCGATTCAAAAACATTAGACACATTTCATACGTTACGTCCCAATAATATCCATGCTTATTATTATTTGAATTCGCTTAACGAAATGCTTGAAATCGTGGTCGGGAAGGAACCCGGGGGAGCTTGATCGAGGGGTAAAACGATCGCAGATCCCTCTTCAATCGCAAACTCCACAGTTCCAGACGATCCTACTATCCGTAAGTATCGATATCATCTTTGGTCCTCCGACTCTCGGCCCCTCCTGCGCTCTCGTATGCCGGCACCGCCGCTGGCGAATCGATATTTACACGTCCAGAAATAGACCGACCACGGAGAACAACCCTCCGAGCGGAGGGATGATGGCGAGGGGGTTGCAACGTTGTCGTGGCCACGCCGGCTCGCTCTGGAAAAGTTTGTTTTCGTCCCTACGCCGGCATCCTTTCCGCGTCGCCGAGCGGCGTCCTTTAAAAGAAATACCCCGACGTCGTCGACGGAATTACCTACCCCCTTCCACCCCCCATACCACCCTCCACTCCATCCATTGTTCGTCGCGTGCTTTCGACCTCGCCCCGATCAAGTGTCGATTCTCCTTATCGTATTGCTCGACGATCAATGAAAAGCCAATTGTGATAGCGATTATCGGGAACTTTTTATGACGATTTGTTTATTTTTTTAACGATACGTTTAATATTTGCTGGCCGAAATTGAAGTTCCGATTCACACTGGGTGGGGTCACGAATGAAATATTTATATCTACTGTGGGAATTATCGAGTACGCAGTTGCAGGGCATTTCGAATTGTTATTTCGCGATCTTTAATCGATTAAACGTGGAAATTCGGATTTTTAAAATAATGCTCCTTAATGAATGAATGAACACATTAACTGTTTAGAGGTCAGCATGAGGATCTTACGTACTGCTACTTTTCACTCTGAATCATTCGAACAAAATTGTGCTCAAATCTGGTACTAGGACACTAATCGTATATGTATTATAGCAATGTAATTATAGGAGACTAATTAAATATGTATTATTGCAAAATCGAATATGTATGTCACCATGGTATTACAAAATTGCTGTTTTAGCATATAGGGAGAAATGGAGTAAGATGTGTGAGGGGGAGTGACTTCTTAGTGGCGAAGTAGGTCGCTGTCCGAGATTCAAGGACGTACTCGATCATTCTCCTCTGACCTCGCTGGGCCTTGAAAGAGTGTTCTTCGACCCCCATGACAACGTATCAATCCGTTTCTAGATTCCTCGTTTTCATATATCTTTGTCTCTATGTTTCCAGTATGAATTAGTACGTACAAACAGGACAATTAAAAAGAAAATTGATAAATATTGGAAAAGACATCCACGCTTCGATTTCAAATCACCTCGTAACCAACAGAACGATGAACAGACAAAAATCTTCATCCTATACCGGTGTAAAAGCATTTGTTCAAACATCGATTGATAAACCGGATTTTACGATGAACAGACAAAAATCTTCATCCTATACCGGTGTAAAAGCATTTGTTCAAACATCGATTGGTAACCGGATTGGTGTTCAAACATAATCGCGGTGTCTGACTTTCGACTTCGGTCGACCGTTCTAATGCTTCTTGTGATATCACCGACTTAATCGTGTTGCACTCGTCGCGTAACAACCCGTTGGCGTTTCATCAACCGGAGACACGCCGTAAATTCAGCGTGACTTTACCAGTTTCCGCTAGAGTAGGTGTATCTAAAAAAAAATATTTTAACAACACAATGTTTCCATCATGCACAATTTTTCAGTTGTAAACATTCCTTGACGATCGATCGAATAAGTATGCGGTATATCTCGCGTGAATTTGCGTCCCCGACCGCGAAGAAACGCGAGGCGAAACTTCCCAGCGAGATCGGACGGAAAGTGCAACGAATTCCAAATTAGCCTCTATTAGCGTTCATTTCCGGCGGCGTGCTAATTTTACGCGGAGAGCCTTGAAGCCAGATTAAAAATTACAACCATGTGTGTCGTAGATCGTCGAGAATACAGAGTGAGTCAATAAGAATTACTATCTAAAATAACTCATTACCTATTACAGCGGACTCTTACGATATTGCCGCTTGGCATATTGCCACACGAGGCACTTGCCTTGTACATGTACTTTCACGCGCATAAATTCGCTTTCCCACCACGTTGCGTACGCCGTTGCCACGAAGGGGGCTCTCAACACATTGCCGTTCCCGAGAATTTTTCTCTCCTATAACTCTGGCCGCGATAATATCGTAAGAATCCACTGTAGTTATATCAAAAAGCGTTTCAATGAATTATATAGTATTTTATGGGACACATCGGACAGATACAATTTGATTTCCTTATATCTTATTTTTTTTTTTAAATATCAAGGTGACCTTGAGTCTTTTTCAAACACCATCATGCTATAGGTCGTTGATTTCGTCTTTTTATTGGGAATAACGTGGTATTAATAAAAAGATGCATGGATCTTGAAAATATTCCAGATTACCTGGACATCTAAAAAAAAATCAGATTGTACTCATCCAATGCATCCCCTAAAATGCTGCATTATTTATTAATAGGTTTTTTGATACAATCAATACTTAATGAGTTATTTTAGTTAGTACTCACCCTGTATTTATGCACATGATACTACACGTGTATCTACTATTTACGCGGCGAGTTTCGGGAAAATAGGCGTGTTGGGTCCAAGTTTATTCCCTTTCTGGCCTGAGAACGATGCAGCAGCAGCCACTTCTCGGCCAAGATGAGCGATAATTAAACGACCGGGCCCGAGAGATAATGAGATTTCAGGGCCGCGATACAGATAACGACCGCTTTAAGGCTACGTCACGCGAACTTAATTTTCTGCCCCCGTTTCAAATCATTGATATTCAATTTTCGCCTTTGATAAGGCCGAAACTCGTTAGCTCTCTTCGGAGGGAACCAAGGAATTCTTACGTCTTCGGGAAAGATCTGTTTTGTTTTTAAGAAAATTCGGTGTTATGATTGATTAACTTGTTGCTTGTGTTCATAGTGAAAAGCATCAGAATCTATGATTGTCATCCTGATTTTTAAACAGTGAATGAAATCAAATAGTTATTTACCAGATGTCTCGTCGTTCAAGAAGAAACATTATCTTATTATAAAAATAGAATTTTCAATATTTAATCGATTAAAAAAGTTCTATTCGTTATTCGAAGGTCTTCATCCATATAATGGAGTACTCAGTTCCACCGACGTGTAAATATACAAAAGTAGCTTCGAATTCGTTGCATACAAAATCAGTTTGCATCGTGTGCATCCGAGGTTAGCATTGTTACGTCACGTCCCGTGAAATATTAAATCCGTGCGAACAACCGTGCAACATTCGCAATACGTAGGTACAATTCTTAATCGAAACAACGAAATCAGGGATGAGTCACTATCCCGTTCTGAGTAAAACATGTGTGTGTGTGTATGTGCAAACGCACCAGTAGCGTGTTCGTTCTTTCTTTCCAGCTTCACCTCGAGTTTTTCGTTCAATCAAGCCTTCATTCTTCTACCAATACAAACTGGACTTAAATAGAGTCCGTGCTGACGACGTATCGCCGAGTAAGCTCGACCTCGATCGACAATCGAACGAAATCGTTTTATCATCCGACCATTCCACAAACCTAGTCCCCTTTTGAACCAATCCAAATCACGAACCCGCGTACCAGCCGCTTGTTGAACTTGCAGACTGACAACATTCAGAAAGAAATCGTAACAAAGTCACATGATAGACGTATAATAAACTAGCCCAGTCACCCAAGCTGCAAAGCCAAATTTTGTCCAATGTCTGTTAGAAGGTTATGACTACAAGCATGGAAGTAGCCAAATTATATGTCAGGAGGGAGGGGACGAAAATATTAAAACATCTACTGCCACAGTGAAAAAGGCTGTACGTAGCCAGACACAGTTTATTTTGTTTTTAAAGTCATAAATCATTGAAATTGTATACGTTTTGTTAATAGTTTCAAATTATACTGCAACATTAAATATTAAACAAAAATTTTGTAACTCTAGGAAGGCAGGGGTGCAAGGTCCAATTATTTTCTTCTAGGGTGAAATTAAAACCACTTTAATTCCATACAGAAGTTTCTTTATGTATACCTTCGCAACGTTTATTTCTTATTTCAAACAAAACAGTCTAGGATGACAGTAATTCGATAGGTGGTAAATGAGTCTTTTTACCCTATACTCGTGGTTCCATTGTTTCGAGAGGGCTAACGTCACAAGCAAATGCGCAATGCTCTCTCAGTCGGCACGTTTAATGCCGGCAAACGCGCACTCGTCACTCCGTTTTAATCGATCGCGCCGCCTAGAACCGGAATTAGTTCTGCGGGCCCTCGCCTTCCTGGAGGTCGGAGGTCGAGGAATTTCCACGCGACAAAATCAGGTCGGAGGCCTCTTGCGCGACAGTACGGGAGAGGGGTGGAGGTGGACGATAGAGGAGCGGCTCTAGACAGGCCAAAGTTAAAGCGTGTCGGGGGAAAGGAAAGTCTTTTTACTCGACCGCAAGGCGATATCGATTCGACGAAGTGGGGGGGAGGGGAGATACATCAGAAAATTTCCTATCCCCTACTCTCGCGTCTCTCGTCGTTTCGCAACGTGACGTCAAGACGATCGTACGGGGTATTTTAATCCGGCGGTTGTAGACACTGGCGTAAGCTAGCCCTTCTGCTTGACGATTTTTTTCATGAAAGAACCTCGGAAAGTTTCCTTTATACCTCAGAATTTCGATAGGACTTGTTAGGATCAGTTTTGCTAACCGAATCAGTGGTACAGGGTTTTTTTTATAAGTTTTCAGTAATAAATTTTAATACACCCACCCGATCAGTTTGAGCTACATCACTTTTTAGCCCTTTAATGTACACGTCCAGATTTAACATTGGTCACCCAATAAACAGAATTTGTCCTCGTTAATTAAAATGTCCTAACAAATTATGATTTTTCAAGGTTTCACGAAATATTTGAACCTGTACATGTTTTTCACCTTTCAATTAAAAGTAAAATGTCATGCGTGGTATAAAAAATAGTCTGAGGGATAAATAGAGTGGAATTCTCATAAACTAGAAATTCGTTGGTATAGAGAGTGTCTTGATCGTACAAACGGAGTCGGAACCGTCCAGGATATTGGTGAACGTAGGCAGGGTCCATCCTTGACTGATCAAAGAGACTCGATGGACCAGCCAGCACCGAATAAGCGACATTGGGAACGTTTCCAATTGTGTGAAGGGAATAGAGACAGTCCGTGGAGTTGGTTTAGGTCAGTGAAGTCCGTTCTGCGTCAGACGGGCACCTTGGAGACCGTCGATGCCCAAGACAAGTAGAGTAGGGACCGTTTGTGGTTGGGCAAATAGAACAGAACCGTACGTGGTCAGGCAAGTGGAATAGGAATTTGCGTTACAGACAAGTAGAATAGGACTTTCTCGATCAGACACATAAAATGGATCCTCTTTATGATCAAATAAGTGTTGATTAAGCCCATTTCTGGTCAAATCAGTAGAATAAAGTTTACCTCTTAAGTATACCTCTCGAGGCGATAGTACTGTATGGAAATTAAATTATCGTTGGAGTTCAATTTAAATCAGACGTTACGCGATACGGTTTTATTAATGACGACGTTTTTTCGTTTTGTTTCTGTTTCAGGCATTGCTGTACCTTATACAGTTGCTGGACCCGATTGTCAAAGGGGACTACGTTATCGCCTATTTCCATACGTTAACGACTAGCAACAACTATCCAAGCTTGCACTGGTTACGGGAAGTTTACAACGTGCTTCCTTACAAGTGAGTGTCGTTTAAAAATTGTAGAATTACCGTGTCAGATAATATTATTTCGAGGCATCGGATGATCTATTCATCGTCTTAGTAGTTGATTCCGAATGATATAACACGTGAATAAGGAATCAGGCATAGATGATAATACTCGTTTTTGAAGAAAATTGAAAATTCCCACGTGACAGAGACGACGTCTGTCTTTTCCCCGAACGTTATCAGTGATCTACATCGTCGTAGAATGAAAGGAACCGCGACAGGTGACAACGATCTACACGTCATTTTATCTATGTTATGCGTATAGCAACGTTGTGACCTTCAGAGCGTAGATTTATACGTAGATACCGATAGAACTGATGCAACAGCGATCGCGATTTCAGCCAAACTGGTTCGCTACACAAGTAACGTCTTATCTCGAACGAACGCATCTATTATATAAAGGATTCTATTAAAATTTAATTTATACCATTCGTGTTTCGTTGGTACTATTAAACAATGTTTACCAGCATATGAATTATTTTCTTACAGGTATAAGAAGAACCTGAAACACTTTTACATCATACATCCGACTTTCTGGACCAAGGTGAGTAACGACCACTGATTGTTCGAGAAAACTGTCCCCCGTCGATTGGTCACGAAATGAAACGGATTGAAATTTTATTTTTTCCAATTGTAACGCGCGTACTTCCTGGTCGTGCGATGCGCTGTGTCGATGCAACTGTCGATAACACGCAACGGTTAAGACGCAGATGCATTTCAACTAAACGCCTCGGTTGCATTTCCCACGTTTATGCGCTCACTCAGCGCGCGTGAGATCCTATCAAATCCCTCTGACCTTCCTTCCGGTTCTCTCAGTTGGCAAATGTTTTCGAAATTGTGATTCCCTTTAATTCATCCTTGACCCCCTGCAATTATTATCTTCCGAGTTCCATCTAGTTTATGTTGTCCAAAACCTGTTTCAAATAAACCTTGGACACAGAAAAATCAAAGAGAATCGATAGTAATTAGAGAACAATAAAAGTATATTGAGTGTCTTGATGAATCCGTTCGATGTCTGATCAATTTGCCTCTCACCTGTTATAGATGATGACGTGGTGGTTCACAACGTTCATGGCGCCGGCAATCAAGCAGAAAGTCCACAATCTGCCCGGCGTGGAGTATCTCTACGATGTGATGTCCCCGAATCAGCTGGAAATCCCAGCGTACATCACGGAGTATGACATGACGGTGAGAATTCCGTAGTTTAAAATATATTTCACAACAATTATTTCAACAGACGGGTTCAATGCCAGCTTGTTCCAACCTTCTCCTCTCCTAGATCCCTACATCGCTAAAGAGTATTAGGGGATCGCTAATGCGGGCGGTTCTGTTGCACCCAAAAAGTAGGAGTGCCTATTCGACTTTGAGGTTGGTTTTCGCACCCTTACAGGGCAATTAGGCATGAATTAAACATACCGTTATTCTTGTCTTGAATCACTTTATAAACACACAAAATTCCATTCAAATCTGCGAATCAGCACTCGTGATGTTTCCTTGTAAATGTTACAATTCTATAAATACTAGATGTCTTTAGAATCTTCCTAATCAGCCAAACCTCCAAAGCCAAATTTTCTCCAATGCCTGTTATAAAATTATGGCTACAAGTTTTAGGCAAGATTTCCTACAAACACCTTGCACGCACATTGGCAGCAATTTGGCAACAACATATGGGTCATTCCACGTCAATCTAGACAGAAAATTTTTGATCACCTCTCCGATTTTGTTGAAGTCCTTTTTAGGTATTCTGTGCGGCGTGGAAACACGCAATATTTTTTTTTAGATTTTTAAAATTAATGTATCAAAAAATAAAACGATTAAAGATTGCACAAAATGCTTAAAATTGGAAATCCGCTTACATTCAAACATCAATATCTTCAGTTCTGTTTAGTTTACATACTTTACCTTGAGCTCATTTCAAAGTTCTTGAACCGCACTTTCATTTGGTATACACGAAGTTCAGTAAAAAATTGGCTTGCGTGAAACAATTCCACAAGAACACGGTTTACACTCGAACTCTTCAACAGTGAGAAATTTAACACTTGTCATAACAATAGAATTCCTTTCGTATCTAGCAAAATATTAACGAGAAAGTAAAATCTTGAGAATGAAGTCGTAAAATAATTCGTATGGCAAGGGGTTAATCTTACCAAGCATAGTTAGCTCGCTAACCAGTAAAATCACGGTTAATCGATCCACCATCTGTAGCAGGTTTCGTTAATTAAAACCAACGATCTCTTAACTATTGCAGATAAATGGGATGAGGTATTATCAACCAGAACAGATCCCATCGTCGCCGTCAACGTCCACGTAACTCTCGATCAGGTCTCGGTTCCCATCCAGCGACGCACTAGACATAACGAAGCCAGATCGGCTGTCCAGCGTGATGATAGCACGATTACACTCGCGCGTGTTCCTCGACTGATCGTGCAGTAACGCAGCTTCTCACCGCACCATACGTTCACGCGCGTCGCAACGACGCGAAACACATCCGATAATCCCCCAGTTTCGGCGATGTTTCTTACCAGAAAAAAAAAAGAATCATCGAGGAAACATCGAGGAATTAGCTGCCGCGGTTCGGACGCGATTCCCGCCACGATTCCCCGAAGCGCGGAAACATCTCAATGTCGAAGTGCCTCGCGACATGACGGATCGGACCAACAACTAAGGGAGAGAAAGAAGGGACGTCGTCGTCGTCGTCTTCATCGCCGCCACTATGCAGACGAAACCGATCGTTGAAATATGTTAAAAAAACCACTGCCCCACCCGATCCATTTTCGCTACGTAGACGACGACGTCTCGCAGACAGAAAAGAAAAACACACACATACAAACAAGGTTTTTCGTGAAGAAATTTGGTCCTATTACATGGTGCTGTAAGATCGATATATCTGGATCCACACTTACACAGGCAAAGATAAGGTACAATTGGTAGAAAATAAAAAGAGAGATAGAACGATCGAGGAGGGATCGTGATTCGCTAAAGGCGAACGTACCCGGCTGCCAAACAAAAAAAAAAAAGAATGAACAGGAACACCAATAATCAGTATTCTCGTCGTGTTGTCGTCGTATAATGTTAGGGTTGCTTCGAGGCCCCTCCCAGTTCTTTGTACATAATTAACGCCTGTTCGTCGTTTAGGATCGTGTGGTGATACGAACCGACGGGTGAAACGAGCGACGACGAACCTGGAGTATAGTTCTATTTGATTATCGTAGATCGTATTTTATTATGGTAACGACGTCAACGAATGAGTCGCGCCCGACGGCGCTGGTATTTTCGATACGCGAGAGAGATAGAGAGAGAGAGAGAGAGATGGTCGATGGGTGTGGACTATTCGGTTGAACGGAAGCGGTAGAGAAAGAGAGAGCTGGGTTCCTTCCGTGGCGCTACGACTTCGGTTATTTGCCGTCTAGCTTGGACCAGAAAGTGATGGACAGGTGGCTACCGGTGTCGATGATGAATCGATCCTCGAAGTGGTCCGTCTGGTTCATAGTATCGTTATTATATTTCGAAATTTTTATCAATTTTTGTATCGATTGCTGCACGAACTTGAACGGATGAAAAATGATCTACATGTAACCATGAGGAATGGTAATCATCTACCTAGCCAAACCTGGTCTACCTTTATTTTACTTTACTATCGACGAACTGTTGAATCTGTCCTTGTGCTCTTAACCTGGTTTATTAGTTAGTTTTACTGCTCCCTTCACAGCATTCGATATCGACGAAATCACAAAGGTTAGTCATTAATCTAAGACAAATTGTGAATGAAGACCACGGACCCCCGATCGATTCTTCATCGACACAGAGTAGCAATCAATTTCGAAATAGGATAAAAGGGGGCCGAGTGCCGAGGTCGTACTCGCGGTTCAATTCTAGATTAGAAGAAGCAATAAACTTAAGAGCTTTCTCACGTCACGTATATACATATTCATATGTATATCTCGGCGGAGACAGAATCGTTATACTCGTTGTTAAGCATTTTTAGCGTTCGAAGGTGAGAAAGAAAGTTGATATATATATATATATATATACGTACGTGTTAACTGGCGTCGATTAGCCCATTTCCAATGATTTTTTTTCTCTCGCATCGTGACCCCACCCGTGGAGCACCCAGCCCTTGTTTCATCCGACGATCGATAAAGTCGGTTCATGCTGTACGACGAACCAGCAATCGAGCCGGTTTCTAACCCTTCGCTGGTCCTGTGTATCGATTCAATTATGTAACTATATATGAAGTATTGAAACATTAACAATGTAAGTATGCTATAAATGAAACGGATATACATATATTATTTTATTCACGATCGCGATTTCGAAAGAACCCGGGAAACAACACGCTGGACCCCCAAAGGGTTAGAACGAAAAAGAGAATGGGTTAATTGACACCCTCGGTCGGAGATGCGTGTGTGTATGACCACTGTGATTATCAGTGACTTTACCTCTGAATAGTACGCGCTTGATCGTCGAACGACCGTCTTTTTTTATTACGTTTTTATTGCGTTGGTGATGCTACGTTAGATATTTATTGTAATGATAGCGTAATGCGTTTTATTAACGAACAAAAAAAAAAGAGATAATATGAACGAATAACAGTTGGAAAACCCGAAGACCGAACGAATTTGGTTTCTTTTTCCTGAGTTTCGGGTAACCGAGCTATTTTTTTCGGTGGACACATCCAGTGCGTCGAGCGATCCGTGTTCAATATGATTCTTGACTCACGGGTACGCGCCAAGCGATCGAATCTTGCCACCGAATATTATCCACGAATTTCATTCGACCAATAATACACGAGAAACGAGTGGTGTCGGCGATGATCGATGGATCGATGGTTCAGGCCAGCTCGGTCTCTCGCGTGAATCTTGACGTTTTACGTTTAACGACCTCACTGTCCGTCCCTGACAATCGTTTATAGTAAGTAGGGAAACGTCGCGTAAGGCGTCGTCCAAGCATTCTCGTCATCATTGTCATCCATATCTACAAAAAAAAGAAGAAGATAAACGAGCATCTTATAAAAAGAGTTTGTTAATACGAAAGGAAAAGTGAGTCTATTTGAGTTCCAATATGGCGGCGGTCCTGCGAGAAATAGGACACTTTTAGATTAGAATCTATAAATTGAAAGTGTCAGAAACGCGTCTGGTGGAGCGTATATTAAACAAAAATATGTATATATAACATCGCCCTGGATTTTCACATTTTATTTATATAATCGTTATTAATATACCGCGAACGTGCGTGCTAATTATCACAGAAACGGAACCAAACGTGTGTTAATCTTTTGCCCATATTACAACTGTTACACATGAATATATACTTTGGGCAATAAAGACGCTCTCGAAGAACTATTTCTCGGAAAGAACAGCTCGGGTGACCGCCATTGTTATCAGGTGTATCACGTTGCCGCGGAATACAGATCACGAAGGTGTAGAACCTTACCCAAGAGTTCGCGCGGTTTGAACGACCAAGCGTCGTTGTAAGTATGTCAAAAGGACCCGTGTGATCTAGCCGGGAAGATATATAAGTTGTTGAGAAATCGTGAGTGGTTGGAGAAAATTAAAAGAAGATTGTGACAATATGTAAGTGCGTGCTTAGGCGAGAGTGACGCCTGAGATTCTGCCGGGTTTTTAAAGTCCCCGAAGTGTAGTCGAGCGTTCGAACAGGGAAATGTCATTGACTTTGACTGCTTTGTGCCATAAGGAAGGATCTATGGAAGCGAGTCTGATGCATTTTATCTTTCTCTGTTGAATTCCCGTTCATATATATATATATATATATATATATCATCATCGATATTCATATATATATATCATCGATCTCGCTAAATAGCCTCTATTGTCATAAAGATGGCGGGTTCTTGGGGCCTTAACTTTGCGATTCGGCTGCCAGACGCAAGAGGAAGGAACGTGTCAAAGGTTAGCAGAAAACGCTCGGACATATTTTCATCGCGATTAGTAGTCTTCCTGCGTTGAAAACTTTCGTATTCGTGCCGAAAGTTCACAAATTGACTTAGAATTGCAAACGAATGGAAAGTGATAGGTCAAACCAGTTCAGGAACTAGTCATTTTGTGATTTAAGATGACGTCTTCAGCTGCATTAAAGATCGCACAGCAAGTTTTCGACACGATGGACGTTTCGATCCGAAGAGCAATCCGAATGATCCGGAGAAAATCGATCTTTGTCGACTACGCCTGGGACTTTAATACCGGGAAGGTCGATGGTTAGGCTTCACGCTTAGAAGAATAATCTATCGCTTCGAGATATAAATCAAGCGCTGTTCAGTTCCCCCTGCTTGATAGGGAACCGAAACAATAGCGTTTATACCGAAGCACGAAGAGCTTGTAAATCCGTGTGGCGGTAGTTTCGATTCGGTGCCGTTTTACCTTAGGAAATACACGTTTACTTTCCGAACATTTTCCTCGTCGTAACACGGCCCTGGACAATCCCCGACACACAATTTGAACTTCCGCTTTGTTAAATGAAGGTGCATACGAACTCGTGAAGCTGGTGATTCTATACGATAAACAAGGCGGAAGTAATGATTTTTCATACGAAATCAACTTTTTCTGCTCGTTATTATCGCCTAATATGAAACATTCTATGTGTACATACATGAAATAAATCGAGTTGAATTATACCAAAATATATATATTATATATTATATCGACTAACAAATGATTTATAACGAAATTGTTTGAATTATATCACGGCGAAGAAATGTTTTACGAGATGTTGTTGAAGTAACGAGAAGTTTTCCCGATTCAAATAATTCTGTAGCTGGAACAAAATTAGTTGGCGATTCGAGGATAACAGCACAATTTTTTTTTTTAGTGCAGATCCACCTACATTTGTATCCCAGCGATGTTACGAAGTGTTTAATTAAAATTGAAAATGCAGGGAGCGATCTTCGTCTGCAACAAAGAGAATGTTAACGGATGAATGATTCAAGAACGTTATTGGAAATGAATTTTATACAAAGAATATATTACCGATTCGATGCCAACTAATAAATGTTTTGAAATCAATGAAATATCAATGAGAAGAATGATTATAGTTGAGGAAGAAACGAAGTGTCATGAAATGGCGGGAATTATAGTTACTCGATTGAATACGATATTTATACAACAATCGTGCAGATTTATATTTATTCGTCGTTCGAGAATCGTTGGGAAGAAAGAAGAGAGTTGAATTACTTGTTTTAATCGTGAATAACATTTTTTTTTGTAAGCTTACATATTTATACATACTATTCACCTTTCAAGAAGTGTTGGAAAGAAACAAGAGAATTGAAGATTACTTATTTTATTTTGCGGATAACATTTCTGTAAGCGTGGAGATGTTGATACGATTGCGGACGAGACCGGAAGTTTCGGAAATTACACGTGCATTATGTGTGTGTGTACACGTATGTATAACGATATACCGGTTAATTATTGTAATTGTTGTCGCGATGGTATAGATTCTATAAACTAATCGAACATATATTTTTCTCTCGGTGCCGATGCACGGCCTCTGACGGGTGCACACATCTCGCCCCTTTCATCTGTTCTATTCTGTTCATTTTTTATATAGATCGAGCAATAAACGTATTGTTTCAACAACACGACATATTCCCGATACCTCTTGAATTATTAACTATTAATCACCATCAACGTGATTATTAAGTCGTCATTACGCAATTTAGAAGAACACGTAATAGTGAGTATAGTATACACGTACAGTCGATCACGAAAATATTTCAGACAAGCCCCATGAAAAAAGAAAGAGTATTTTTCATTATAAATCTAGTAGCTTTATTTAACGTGTGCTCCTTTATTTATATTTTAATGTATATTATATAGGATTTACTTTAAAAATAAATTTTCTTTGCGACTGAGCTCTTCTATTTTCATACGTTTACATAAAGCGCAAAGCAAACTGTAGAACTATTCTTCGAACCTTGACTTTCATAATGAACAAAGAAATAAGATGACGTATACAATATGCAAGATATAGTAAATACGGAAAATACAGGAGGGAATTATAACATTAAGACAACAGCGGACAAATATTCTATTCGTAAAAGCTAATTGAATTGAATCTCTTTCGGAAACCATATTCTATACTAAAGTATAGCAATAATCGTACGTGGGGCTGAAGTAATAGAAATTTTTATAACATAATCTAAGAATGTATAAAATTATTTCAATACCTATAGTAGGCATGCGTCAATAATTTATCCACTGTAGGTCTTGTTAGCGAGCTTAACACTAGAACTACTGACGATAAACGCATATTTGCTTCGATCGGTGGATAAACGTGAAAAACTTTTGAACATTTAGAAATTTAGAAATTGACTAATTTCTTCACTTTCATATCGTAATAAAAGGTGCAAAAGATCTGAGAAAATGTATTGTCATAACATTTTAACTGTCGTTGTAAGAGTTTATGACAAGTCATTTGGACTTGCTTGGTAGTTTAACAGAGTTATCACTGAATCATCACTGATGAACGATGGAAAAATTTTCACTGTATTAACTGGAAAGTTTCACGCAAAGAGGCTGAACCCGCGGGACGACACAGATTCGTAGAAAAAAAAATGTGTCCAAGAGTTATCTTATCGGCGAAGATATTTACACAGTCGGTGAATGACTGACGAAATAGGAAGCTAAAATTAAAAGAATAACGAAGTCGTTTGTTACAAACTTTTATTCTGTGGTATTCATTTTCAGTAATCATGGTTCTCGCGATAAAAAACAGACTTTGTACATTAGTCGACATATTAAAGGTCGATTTACTTTCCCATTGAATTGTACCACGGTGAAGATATAATAAAGTAATAAATTATATTAATGCTTTTAAACGTCATATCAAGATAATCGAAATTATGCAAACGCAAGCGGAACTCATACGTTCTCATTTTGGAAATACAACATTGTCGATAAGATATCGAGAAGTGGGAATGTTACGGTCGCTCGAAACAAGAGAAAAAAAAGATCGTCTTCCGGAGTTCGGTAACCGTTAATAAAAAAAAAAAGAAAATCAACTTATTTCCACTTTCAGTTTCGATATTCGTAACTGACCGATATCCAACATTATTTTCAAATTCCCACGCCTATCATGTTGATTCACGAACCAACCTTGGTCATTAAACCATACCCAAATAACAATAAGGATAAGAAGTATATAAACTGAGTAACAATTATTACTCGACTGCAGATTTCATACATTTACTGCACATCCAATAGAGTTTTATTCAACACAGTATCAAGCTTAATACATTTCAATACAATTTTTATTTTACTTTGAATATAATACTACTCTTAATACAGTAAAACCATTTCCTTTTGATTTTAGTATCTGTAACATGCGTTCTCGGAAGAGAAAAAACAGAAATCCCATCTGACCAGACCGAATATCACCTCCAGAAATCACAGAGATTTATTCCAATGGTTCAACTTCAGTCGCCAGGTATTTCAGTTTTTTCCACGCCCCTCGTAAACGTCTATCTACCACGTTTAACAATGTTCGAATAACGAATGCGTATGTGTTCTGAAAAGGGAAGAAAACGGAAGTCATGTTGACCAGGCCGAATACGACCTCCAGAAATCAAAGAGATTTATTCCAATGGTCTAAGTTCAGTCGCCAGGTACTCGCCTCCCACCTTTGTACACAAATTTCTTCTGCCCTCCACAGACCTGACACCTCAGTTGTCGACAACTCGCAGCAGTGAGCGGTTTTCTTAATACAACTACCCAATTGGAATAATATACCACAAGTAAGTTTACATTATTGCTTTCAATTATCGATCTTTTGGTTCCAATTCCGTAAAATCATCTGAAAGTTTTTGTCTTATATAAAATAGTTAATGTATTTTCAGGTGGATATAATTTTTTTCATGATAATAAGTTAGGTTTACATATAGTAACGTGTTTATCAGAAATACCGCTAGTAGGAACAAATGTTTTTCGGGTATATTGTTTTAAACAGTTAAGGGATTAATGTTCCTTAGAGAATGCCAAAACTATTCGTAAAATCAAGACGGACCGTGGACTGGCTTCTGCAGAATTATATAAATTAGCTGCGAAAGAGGTTGGAAACCAAAAAATGTATCTCAGAAATGCCCCAAAATCGGTTAAACTATGCTACGTATCATCGTTTCGATATATTAAAAAGCAGAAAAATATAATTACAGAGGGTCAAGCTGGCCTACCTTCCGTTTAATATACATCGACATAAAGGGTGTTTTCAGACGAAGGGAAAAGTTTTGTAAGAATATTTGTTATACTTAACCGCCATCAATTACAGTGTGATAACAAAAGAAGTGAAAAAATCGGTTCACAAGTTGTCAATAAAATATGAAAAATCTATTCATGACTTTTGGGAAAAACTGAATGTTAATACTACGTACTTGTTTGCATTTTTTAAAATTTTAAAAGTGTATGTTACGTTTATGTCAATCGATAGACAACATAAAAATATCATATAAATACATCTTTCCTTTTAGTTTGTTTTCTTTTTGGTGTTAAAATCGCCCCTAGAAATAGGGATACAAGTAACTAAGTTTCAAGGTTCGATTATGTTGTCTAATAATCAAGGTTTCTCATAGAATTTTTAAAAAATTCTACAGAATTTAAAAGTTACAAACTCAAAAAGACAAATTGTCACGTTTGTCCCTGATATCCCCTGCAACTTGAATCGATCGCATACATTCGCCTTATCGATCAAAGACCTTGCGCCGGTATCGCAGAACGTGATTTCTCCGAGCGAGGGTCTGACCATCGGTTCCCGTGATTTTGCCCCTTCGCGTCGTTGATTCAGCCAGGTACAATCGGCTTCAGTGATTTCGTGCAGCCCGAGGGGAATGTAGTTTACCTGTGATCCTTCTCACGTATCGACACCGATGCCACACACCGTCGGATCTGTAACGACCGGGCGCCAGAGATTCGCTCGGTGGGTAGCACGAAGGAGGAGGTGTACCCCTTGTGCGACAGAAACTCACGTGATAAACTCTGTATAGTCGTGAGATGGAGTACAGCGCGAACAGAAAGTTTGGAGGTTGGTGATAGATCTCTGGGTTTAGTATAATTGAACATTGATAAATGTTTGTTGAATATTGCATCGAGTTCTGAACAACTTCTACTTGTTTTGGACCAACGAATGAGACGGAAACGGAGGTCGTTGGTTAATATGCAGGATATTTAATTACAACTTGTACAGGAAAGGAATCTATTTAAAAACGAAAATTGGAGGTAATTCGTGTGACTCGGCTTGAATATATTCTTCAGACAGAATATTTATCGTCGTACATTGTATCCTTCGGTTTACCATATTGTGTTCATTTTTCACTGATTATTATCACTGGTTTAAACTGCATGTTACAAGATTCACGCGACTCTGTCAACGGGATAACATCTGTCGTACGAACCGACGTTAGGTTTAACGATTCCTGGCTCCTTGAAAAGACTGGAGTATCAATGGTCAGCGAAACGGAATTGTTTATGCGGAATACCAAATAACCGCCATAAATATTATCAAAGTAGCACAGACCTCCTATCTTCTCTGGTAAAGAATACAAACCGTAGTAAAAATAACAGAACATTGGTTACCAAAATCTAGTACAAGTAACGCATAAAGTCCGAATCTAGTAGAATAAATACAAACAGAAACTTTCCTTTAAATCCAATAAAGTCAGTGCCCATGAACATTCACAATTCGATTATTCAACAGTTAATGAGATTACATAATTGTTTGCCAAATGTCGACTCGTTCAGGAAGAAGTATTATTTTGATATAAAAATTATAATACCCACGTTTAAACGATTAAAAATGAGTACTTTTATTCGTTATTCGAAATCTAAACAATGAATTTGCCAGTCTCCGATTTTAACGAAGACATATTTTATTAATAAACATTCATTAACAGAGTCATATTTTATTAACGAACATTTATGAACAAACTAATATAACTGGACAACAATCAACCTCACAATTATTACCTTCCATATTGATTACTCGCCCCACTCGATACAAGTACTCTTTCTGAATACCGATATACATCGAAACGAAAGTATCGATTATTTACCTGCGTTTACTTGGATCGGTTCATCCCGACCTGAAAACGTTCGACAAGAAACGGCTCCGCAAAACGGTTCCGAGAAACTTTCTGCGGTTAGTGTACATTCACGCGCGGACTCTTTCCTGTTTCATCCGCGCGGCACCGAGCCAGTAAGAAGCGTGACGCCGAGCGGAGAACATTTCATGAACCATATAGAAACCCACGTCCGGTTTTCGCCGCGATGATCACCGTCGTTTGTCGCCTTTGAACACCCGAACAGACAAAAGTTCGAGTACTGTTTTCGTCTGTGGAAGGATTCGAAAACCTTCGCTAAAACCGGAGGAACTCGAGAGGAACGGGTTTTGTGATTCGTCTCGCGAATGGACAGGCGTTTAACAGGTAAGCTGACTGTTACAGAAACACGAGGATGTCACTCGAAACTATTTTGGTGTGGTTCCCCCAAGAAATGGCTGATTCGTTCGGGTCATCTCCTCGAACCGCGTGGTCGCGCGATGATTCCTTCGAGGCGATTTTTCGGAGAGTCGCGGGCTGACTGGATCAGAGTGGAATTGTGGGACCAAGCCTTGGACGTGTTAGTGTGCGAGTGTGTTGTTGTTGTGGCTAGCGATGTGATCAAATTCGATATGTTTACTGACGAATCCAAGTCATAATTATAAAGTTTCACTTGGGTGGAATTCGATTGGTATTTATAAGAGGTGATGTTTCATTTTCTATAGCTACAAAGTATGTACAGTGAATTCTCGATATGTGTTTGAAGGCTCCTAGGAAGTCTAGGCACGGACAAGGAGAGTTTTTAAATGATGTTTGATTGCGTGATAGAGCCTGGAATTCTGAAGCCAATGATATTTTTTCAGCTGCTCATGGCCATTAGTTTATGAAATATTTAATGTTCAGTGCCGGGGAGCCTTCCAACACTCATTGAGGATTTAGTGTACTCCGATTATATAGAGTCAAAGCACTAGTATTCGATCACTGAAAACTAAACTTCAACTAACGTGAAATTCAAATTAAAATTTGTTTTTAAATATAATTTGCAGCAACTGCAAATAATTAATAATAACAAGAAATAAAAATTAGACTTTTTTAAAATCTAAATTAAGTTCAAATAAATTTGTGTTTTTATAGGAAGACAGAATGAAAAATTGAGTTTTTAAAATATTTTTATTCTATAAATGAAATATATCTACAAACTTTAGAAACATACATTCACAAACAAATAAGATAAAATTGTAGTTTTTTATTATTTAAACATAAGAATTTTCCATGTTTAAATTCTTTCTTGTTTTAATGTTACAATTTTCTGCTTCGTCTTTCTGTGTTCTTCTATTTTCTCCTTCTTGACTGTTATTTTGTTCAATTTTTCTTCTTATTTTCTTAATCTTTCCTCTTGTTCCGCATGTGAAAATTGGTATAGAACTTACTTCAGAAACATGTATTTTCTTTACTTATGAAGAGTGCTTTTTCTCATATTTTAAAGTTACCTTTTTCTTGGACAAAGAACAAAATCGCTTTATCAGATGAACAGGTACTATATCCGAAGTGTTAATTGCATCTATATACTGCACAAGTTACACGTCGCTTTTTCTTCTGTTTTCTGTGACAAATACCGACAAAACTTACGAACAGACACGAAGTCCATTTTCGTTACATTCTATGGAACTTGACAGAAAATACCATTACTTCGACTGGAAAACTTCAGAGCATCCAACCAATAAATAAGACTTTGCCCTCTCAGATGATTATTCCTTTTGTTAGAGTATTCTATATCAAAGAACAAAGTCTACGTAGAATCAAGTGCAAGAGTTGTTTTTAGCAAAACAATAGAAGTTGTGTATATTGTTAATTTTATATTCTTATATAGTTCTTTCTCTGTTTCTGTTTTCTATTCCGTTATTTGTTATTTTCTCGATAACTAGGCATTTCTTTCTATACAATCATAACTTTCTATATGTTGTTAAAAATACTTCATTAGTTCTTTCTCTGTTTCTGTTTTCTATTCCGTTATTTGTTATTTTTTCGATAACTACGCATTTCTTTCTATACAATCATAACTTTCTATATGTTGTTAAAAATACTTCTGTAAATTATTCTTTTTTTTCTCTCTCTATTTTTGTATTTCTTCATACAGTCCCATAGAATTTTTGTTAAATTTTATTAAATCCTCCGTACAATTACTACAAGCCTTCGTAACTCGGGTATACCTGTACGCTTCATTGTACATGTAAACTTTTCGTTTATCCTCCAAACGTCCATATACTCGTACATTGCACGAAAGGGTTCATAACCTGTTCAATTAATTGAAATATGGAAATTAATTCTAAAAATGAATGGTACTAGATAAGAATGTAATATGAATGAAAAAATATAGATTATAACTCTGTCCTTGAAAATACTATGAACTTTCCGAACAACCCAATGCTAAGAAGTCCCGTTTAGATTTCCCATAAAAAGTTCCAATCTATTTCGTCTAAATTCGAGTCTATTTGGATGTGTTGTTCTCTATTCTCCAAGTGCTCGTGAGCCGTTCGAAACTGTGTTTACAGTTTTAGATTCGAACCTACTTGCAGTACACTTGATCCCATCGCTAATTGTGGACGAGCCTTCTTCGAGGCCGCTGGTCTCGGATCCACGCGTGGGATTCTCTGTTACCGTTGTTACTCCCGCGGATGTCACGGTGAAATTATTAATTGGTCTGTTTTGATCACACGCAACCGGGACGGCAAGCTGATCCGCAATGAGGAAGTAGGGCTATACGCGTGGGCTCGGTCCGTGAGTTTCCAATGACTTTCCTTTTATTTTCAGTTTGATATTTCGCCCGTTTCGCGGGAGGAATATTTTTGATCCTTCTGACTCCGATCGCAAGTTTCGCGAGCGACTTATTGCATTCCGACCTTCGGGTATTTTTGTAAATATATCTGGACTTACGTGAATCGTGTCACAATCAAAATGTATTTCTTATCTTTCAGTTTAACATTTTTATTATAGTAGGCGTATCCATAGGTAGTCCACTATTTCTTTAATTAACCTGGTTATAGCTTGAATTCGAAACATCTTGTTGCCGTGGTCGTCTTTAAAAATGGTATTGAACCATGCATTGTAAATAATTTATTATATACTAAGTTCTGATAAATTTAAAACAGCAATGTCTGAAATATTAACGATTCCGTCTATTTTGAGTCCTGTTGCAATTAAGCAGTTTGGTTTCTGAGTGGCTCGTAAACGCATCAGATCACATGTTCCATCCACTATTATTTCCTTTCTTATTTTCCAGACTTCTCAGCATTGTGACGGAGGTATTTTAAATCACCTGAGTCGTAATACAAGTTTCATAAATTTCCTTCATACTCTGATTTTAAACGAATTATAATTTACACGAATTGAAAGTTTCTCTTAAGCTTTTCATGAAAATTTCATTTCCAATCACTTGTATCGAGAAAGAGGGAACATTCCATTTCGTATAAATTGACTGTCCCTCGCGTTTCACGGAAGTGTGTCATTTCTGTTCTTTGATTCAAGCCATATGCTGACAAACTCTTAATACTTTATAAATCCTCATGCTCTAACTCACTCAAGACAAATAGCAATTCCTGATTCTTCCATTTAGGTCTTCCCACTCCTTAAAAGAAATCTTGTAATTATAAATGTAAGCAACATTCCCTTATTCATTTAGTACGAATTTCATATTCACCGTTATAAAGTTCTCCACGTTCTTAGACGTAAATTTTTGCTTTCTACGGCTCGGTGCTCGTGAAGCTTCAAAGACTGTGAAGAATTATAAAGGAACAGGATAATCGATATTAACCGTGTCAATTATCTGGGTGACAGGGGGATCTAACAGAGGGAACCAAGGAAATAATTACGTTAGAGAGGAGCGCTATTAACAAGCGACAGAGAGTTATTCGAACCGGTACACGTTCGGCTATTTCTTTTCTGAGGCTCTGCTTCTATAAATAATTACGTTTGCAATGTTCTAAGGGCACAACGTCGCGGACGAGGTAACATCCGCCATGTACATTCAGTAAACCTAATCGAGTCCACATTGGCGGGAAATGACGTTCGAGAGCGTTCTGTCTCTCTGTTTCTCTCTCTGTCAATTTTAGGCATGAAATTCGGATCAGAGGCAGGTAATAATGGGGACAGAAGGTCGACGACCAACTCGAACGATTCCAGCTGAAGGCACGATACACATTTCGCGTCCATTGTTTTATTCGCGAGCATCGAACTGCGAATATTCGTGAGAATTTCAATTTTCGCGAGTTATTCCCTGGAAATCTGAGTTAACAGAGAAATGTATTTTAATCGGAAAAATATTCCTTCTTTTAGAATAGGTTTTCTGTCATTTTAATAATACATGACGTAATGTTCTACAGGAATGCATGTAAAACCAGAATGTCGAATACAAATTTCCTTATTATGATGACGGTGTGTTGACTGCAGTAATTCACGAACGAATTGATAATTTAGTTTTTGTGACAATAACGCATTAAGTGCATATGAAAAACAGGTATTCCGTGGTGTACTCCGAATAATATTTATCTTCTTCGAACGTTTTTCGTTGAGACGAATCTTCATAAAGCAGTAAAATCTGTTTAATATTCATTGGACCGTCTATAGATGGAAACAGATAAAATTAAATTGCAAATATTCGTAATAAAGAGAACGGCGCGAGGCACAGTCGAACCGAAACTTTATTAAAATTTTATACAATATGTATTGTTTCTCCGAGCTGATAGAAAATATATTCATATTTAATTACTACTCTTATAAATTAATCATTTCCTCCATTCTAATTCATCATTACCGTATGTACCCGACCGTTTCCATACGTCGAATTAATCTATAAGAACATATAAAGGGCAGCAAAAACATGCACAATTACGATAACATCCATCCGGTCGGGTAAACTTTCTACGATATAAGTAAGACAGATAAGATATCGAAGGTGTATTATCATCAGTCCACTGTACATTTACCTTTCTCGAATCTGTTATATCGTGCCACGTAAACAACCTTTAGATTATTAAAAATAATTACAAACTTGCAGATTTTATGCACTTTAAAAAAAAAAAATAATTAACAGAATAATGATATTTAAGTAGGAGAAGGGTGTTCAGAATTTCAATCTTCCTGTATATAGTCATCTAAAGTTTATCTCGTGTCGGATCCTCTTTTCGTCGACATACCTAATGTGTTACAAGAGTCGTAAACTGTCAACAGGTGTTCGAGGTGGATTAATCTGATGATATCTTGAGTGAAAAAGTAAAGTCGACCGGGAACAACCATGAAGATCCTCGGCGTGAAGTTCGCTCCACTGAACGTGCCCCTGAAGCGAAGGCTGGAAACCCTATCCGCGGCTATATGGATCATCTTATTGGGTTTCGGCGATTTCTTGGGCTACATTATCACCGTTTACCTGCTCCTCTACACCGAGACACTGCGCTATTTCCTTCTGCTCTATTTCGTATGGATGTACTATGACTGGGACACGTGCAACAAAGGCGGTCGAAAGTGAGTTCCACTTAAATGCAGGATGTTTCGAAGTACTTGAAGCATGAATTTACCGTGTAACGTTACTCTAGAAGGTTCCGCTTGCTTTGAACTTTTCTTTGTCAGTGCACAGAAATTTGTGTGAAGTGTATTATAAGCTGAAGTAGAAATAAGTGAAGGAAAATTGAAAGAGAAAAATCGTTTAAAAGTGACGCGTATTATTTTTTATTTGTGCATCATTTTAGGGGTTAAATATTATTGTTTTTCTTTACGTTCTTAAGTTTCATATAAAAATTTTAAAGATAACGCTCGATTGTCATCGTTATTGAAAAGATTTCCATCTGATCATAACAGAAATGACATAATCTTCAACTGTATAGATCGTGTCATGTAAGAGTTACAAATATAGAGTCAAAAATATGGAACCTCGTAGAAGGATTAAAATCTCTCGATCGATATTCCATTGCCATCGTCCTTGACATTTTAATGCACTTTCTCAAGGGTTCCTGTGACTTTAGTTTTCACCTAAATGTCAACGAAATTTTCCGATAAATTATATATCTCTGTAATGATTGATTCTATTTTAAATAAGCACCTGAGAACCGACACTAAAAATCGGGATTTGTTTATGTTTCAGCGCTCGCTGGATCACATGGCTCAGGAATTGCGGTTGGTCACATTACTTTTGCAACTATTTCCCATTGAAGTTAGTGAAAACCACTGATCTGGATCCTTCGAAGAAATATTTGTTCTGCAGTTTCCCTCATGGGATCCTGTCGACTGGAGTTTTCGGAGCGTTCGGCTCGGATGTACTCGGATGCAGGGAACTATTTCCGGGATTGGACATCCGCGTTGTTATTCTCGATCAACATTTCAAAATTCCTCTGTTCCGTGAATACGCTTACCTGAGCGGTATGTATTAGTTATAAGTCACAGATCCAGTTTCCCTCGAAGTTACTCGTGCAATTAATTTATTTGAAGTAGAAGATTCTACAAAGTTGAATCTAAATAGAATCAAAGTAGGTTATACAAGGTCGAATCTAAGTAGAATAAAAGTCGATTCTACTAAATAGAATCTAAATAGAATCACAGTAGACTCTACGAAGTAGATTCTAAGTAGAATCAATGTCGGTTCCACAAAGTAGAATTTTAAAGTCTACAAGGTACAATCTTAGATTCTGCAAAGTAGAATCTAAATATCTAAAATCTTTAGATTATACAAAATAGAATCGAAATAGAATCAAAGAAGATTCTACAAAGTATAATTTTAGATTCCACCAAGTAAAATTTTGAAGTCTAGGAATTTCAATCTTAGATACTGCAAATTAGATCCTATACAATAGAATCATAGTAAATTCTACAATGTAAAATTTAAACTTCATGGTTGCTTGCCCAAATAATTCATATAAACGACCTAAATATCTATCACGTTCGTGTCGAAACGCAGGCACCGTCAGCAGCAACCCGGAAAGTCTGAACTATTTGCTGTCTGCGAAGCCCCAAGAACCATTCACTGGAAGAGGAACAGTTCTGATCGTCGGTGGAGCGTCAGAATCATTGGAATGTAAGCCAGGCACATATCGTATCCTGGTAAAAAGAAGAAAAGGCTTCGTAAAGATCGCGCTGAAGCATGGGTTAGAATTATCAATGTTTACCAAGTTACATATTTTCAATCAGGCGTGTCGTGATCCCGCAACGATTCTTTTGCAAACCGTCATGTCATCTCGATAACCATGGAACGTTTATTCTTCGCGGAATGTGAAAGAAAAAAAAAACAACTGTTCACTTTGCTAAGTAGTTATCACCGCCTTAACTTCTTCCTCGAAAGAGGATTACAAACGCATATTTCTTATTTCTCTAGCCACTGTAACGACTGTCGAGAAAAAGAAAGATAGAGAGACTAATTAATTCGTCATTTTGCTGTTCTAGAACACCCCTGGTACCTGTTTTCTCGTTCGGAGAAACGGACATATACGATCAAATCTATGGTTCCGAGGGCACGCTCCTGAAAAGAGCGCAGCATTACATTCGCAAGAAAATCGGGATCGCACCGATCCTACTGATAGGCAGAGGATTCTTCCAATACTCGTTCGGGCTTATTGCTCAACGGAAACCCGTCACTGTCGTCGGTAAATATCGTGCTTATACTTAAAATTTAATTTTATAATTAATAGAATTAATCTCAAGAAGAAAGGTATCGCTAATGATACTAGTACCCTGCAATTAATGGTACAGTGATTCCCCCGTAAGATTGTGGTATCTTGTATCATCTTATTGTTACTTCTAACAGAAATAAACAAACACAGATTGAAGCGTGTCGCCATGCAATGAAAACGATCGCAAAATCATCACATGACTATAAGATCAAGCTTCGTGTGACGCGATCTTACGGGGAATAAGGGTGAAAAGAGATTTCTTTTCCTCTAAACAGAAAAGTTGTCAAGATTTCTGTCAATGTCCTCGTTCGTATTTCCAGTTGGCAGTCCCATGGAGCTACCAAAGATCCCAGAACCGACCAAAGAGCAGATCGACGAGTACCACGAGAAGTTCATCAAGCATCTGGTCGATCTGTTCGAGAGCCAGAAGCACCGGTACGTGGCGAACGCCGATTCAGTGACCCTCGAGTTGATCTCGTGATACGTATTTACCATACAATAGTGGCTCGTTTACGAACGTCGACAAGTCGACGAAATTGTCGCCTGTGTCGAGGACTCGTCGACGAACATTTCTGTCAGTCAGTCATGTTTCTTAGTAACTTTACGAGTGGAGTGGTAAGTGAAGAAGAAAGAGAGAGAATGAAAGCAATGGTGCATTAATGGAACTCTATTAGTCAGAATGTGTGCTTTCCCAAGACATTACGTAAGAAACCTATTGTTAAGGGGTTGAATATTAATTTACGTTTTAATTGAATTGTTAAAAAGGACTCTTCGAGGTGGAAGCCTTAAAACGAGTATTGCTCAAACACGGTTGTATATGATCGATGTATTACGGGTTTGTGACGCGGGAGTGTGGAATAATTAGTACGTTACAAATGGGAAAGAAGAGATCGAATGCATGAGGAAAATGTTTTTTCTTTTTTAATAGAAAATGTGATTCGATGCAGTAGCCATAGTACTGCGTTATTAACGGTTGTACACAGTTTTGTTGAACCAGCGATTAAAACAGTACACACTTCATGGAGTATTTTTCCATGACTTGCACGAGCAATATCGCGAGAATCACGAATACAGTGGACCAAACGGACGTACGTAAAATCTGCAAGAATAGAATAGATGTTTATTTCGTTGAATTTCCATTTATGATCGTTCGTTTCTGATGTGTGATTTTTTACATGCCTTGTCCTGCCATTCCTTGTTCGCGATGCAGTCGCGGAATTTCATTCGTGAAAAGTGCACGGTACTGTACAACGGTATCCACGTGTTCGGTATTTGACGATAGAGAAACGTGTCCAGGCTTCTCCGGAAACGGAACGACTTTCTATTAACTAGATCTCTCATCTGTAAATTGTCTGGCATGTAATGCTTTCGTTTAACATACGAACAAACCTACATGTTGGTTTGTGATTCTCATACTTGTCTTATATTCTCTTGTCGACGTTCTTCGTCTTTTAGTTTCAATCAGTATTTATGCTAACTAAGAATTAATATAAATCACGATTAACAAGCTCAAAGTAATTTAAACCAATTCTTCGAATTATGGTAATCCATATGGAATAAGCAAGATCGTGAAATCGAAATTGAGCACACCTTCGAGAATTGACATGTAGAACAGAAGCTTACCTCAACGTAATTGTACATAGCAAGATCGCATATCGCGTGAGCATCGTCGGATCGCAGTTCAGTGAACATTGGTAGCACTTTACCGAAGTCTGATTCATAACGTTCCATTAGCTCGTCTAACAATAACATATCCTCGAATCCCTAGTAAAATAATTACATAATAAATTTTACTGAACAATACTCCTGAACTAAGTTACGTTAACTCATTAGGGCAAATATTTGATTGAGTCGTGAATATCTAGGGATGGGATCAAGTTCAATAACCAAGTTCCATTTTATGGGTTTCGATTACTACTCAAAAGCAATAAAGTTTCAATGAGTATACTTAAAATGTAATCATTTTATAAAAATTCATTTCGAACTCTAGAATGAGTACCTGTAGATTTGAAAACGTACTTAAGTAGTGAGTAGTTTGAGGTTAGAAAGATTCGAACTCTCCACAAATAATACTCGAATTCCAAATGAATCATTGTCATTCGTTGTATCGAGCATTTAATTTCTACGAAATTAATTTTGTTCAAAAAAATATGGGTAAATAAATGCAATTTGGACCATTTATACATATATAATTTTCGCTAAACTACGTACAATTGCAAAAAGTAGAGAACTCCTGATCGAAGAACTCATAAAAGATTCGAATCTACTCGGTCAGGGTTCGAGTCTAAGTTCAAAGTAGTTATGAAACGTTCGAAACTATCCATTTAGATCCGAACCTACTTATAATATACTTTATCCCATCTCTATGAATGCCATAATGTTCATGACTCAAAGCAATGTCTGAGAACTTTCTCAGTATCGAATCAAGTTTTCATTAAGTTCTCGAAATTCCATTATGCTGGTGAATGTAAACTTTTCTGGACAACTCACAGCGTTCATTCCTTGAGCGTAAAATGGCACCATGGCGTGTGCAGCATCGCCAACAAGAAGAGCTTTCTTTCCAGCGTGATAAGGTTTGCACTGCAATTGTAAGAAACAAATGTAGCGATGTTTGGCAAACAAATCCCATAGTTATTTGTACCATCGAGTTTGTACAATTTGTGATGACCTCCGTAAATGAACTGGGATATTAACCTTGATAGAAATCAGTGTCTTGGGCTGCCTTTCGAAGTAATCTTTTACCAGCCTGTCCCTACCGATCATACGTACGAAATCGGGAAACTGTGCTTCGTAAAATTCCAAGAGATCCTTGGACGTTTTCAGTTTGTCCAGAGTCGCGAAAGGCGCGAATATATTCGCGGTAAAAGTGTAGTCCTCGTTCGGTAGGGCGATCATCATGAACTCTCCTCGCGGCCAGATGTGCAGATGATGACCGCTCATCGCAAACTTCAAGAGAAGGATCAAGGGAGATGTGTTTGATATGATAATTTGACTATTTTTCAGGTACGAAGATTAACATAATATTTGGTATAAGGCAACGTGTAAGTACTTGTGATCCTATGCATGTTTATAACTTCACTATTTACAACAATATTTAATATTCTTTACATCGAAGTGCATAATACTGAAATATTTAATTATCAATGGGCTGTATACAACTATTAGCACTAGAAGATTTACAATTATTCAGATTTTATAATTATTGAAATTGTACAAACCTTTTTTCAGAGTTTATGATGACCTTTAAATCGTTATACTTTATATAATTATAAAATTTAATTTAGTATACATTCAAGGCTGGTATTTCTAGTCTTAATGTAATAATTTATATTATTTAGAGTCTATAGAAAACGGTCAATTCCAACGGACGGATTACCGGCCGCAAAGATACGAATATTTGAATGAAACATACCGTGCTCGATGTATGTCTGACTGCAATTGAAGAGCGGCCTCTTCATCATTATCTTCCTGACTTTCGAATAGGCACCATCTGCGCCAATTATTAAATCTGCTTGTATTTCCTCTATAGTTTCTGTTTTTGTACTGAAAAAAGCACAGTGATTGTCATACCTTCGTAGAAAGATTTTGAGAAAATTACTTAGCGAAAGATTTCTCACTCGAAGATCTTCATTGTTCCATTATCCAAGTCCGCGTCTACCAATTTCTTGTTGAAATAGAGAACCACTTCGGGATATTTTTCGGCAGCTATTTGAGAAATGACGTAAGGAATCAGAATGATTGAGTTCCTTCAATAAAATATTACGATGCATTATGAAGGGAATATGAAGACTCAATGATTCAATCAGTTACCTGCATCTCACTAACACTTAGAATTCGAGTACTACTTGTGAAGAGTTCGAATCTTTCTAACATCAAACTACTTACAAGTACGTTTTCGAATCTACAGTTACTCATTCCAAAGTTAGAAACCAATTTTTATAAAAAAATTACATTTCAAGTATACTTAATGAAACTTTATTGCTTGTGAATAATAATCGAAACCCATGAAATGACGCTTGGTTATTGAAATTGACTCGGATTCGTAAGTACATATTGAACTTGATCTATCTATCTACAATTTAGAGAAAAATCAGATAGAAATTCCATCGTTTCAATTAAAAGTTTTCACGTTGACAGGATTGCAAGTCAATGAACACTTGTTATAAGTGTGTCGGTGGCGAGTACAAAGGGTGCTGAGGCGCACGCATTTGCAGGCGCAATGAGGATCGTAAGAAGCACGGGGCAACAGCGACAAGAAACGTGATACGCTCGAATTCTTGCGGCTTCACGCTCGACCGCGTTATCGGATACGCAGTCGCGATTCTTTTCCCCGGTGGAAAATCGTCTCGTGTTCGTTCACGTACTTCTAACGCGAGATGCAACCGGATCAAAATAACCTGCTGCAAAATCCCGATGGAAATTGATACCGATCCCGATGAGGATCGCAAGAGAGAGATATCGAGCTGCAAGTAGTACAGCTCAACGAATCAGCGTTTGATCCCAGGTTCGAAGAATGAAATAATTCACAGAATCTCAAAAGTAGGGAAGAAGAGACCAGTAGTGGAATAGGACTGACAGGATTTTTGCAGGATGAAATTAAATGTTTGCCATCTAGTTTTAGAGGTAACGTTTTCATAGGAGGGCAAAGATGGCCGTCTAACACTTTGACGGCCATTGAAATCTAATATTGACAGTAAAACATGAAATATATAATAAACATGAAAATTATATTAATTTGAATAAAATCCACGATGTCTGAAAAAATTAAAAAAGTGAGGACCATGAGAAATGTTAAATTATACTGTTTCCATTTTGATAGAAAAAAATGTTAACACTGTGCAAATTTTATAGTGACTGGTTTGCCTCCCAAAAGTTGGTACACACTTGACTGATTTGGGATGATTGACCATTAACCATCTATGTTTCATATATTAAATCAGTGAAAAGAGGGTAAATTTTAGAAATGTAATAACGTGATTGCTGATTCATCGAAATCATTTTTCTTTCGACAACGATTCGTGTTGTCATGCATAATGCTAATGAAACTTCTAAAAAAATTCTAAATAATCCACATGATAAATCTATAATTTCTCTCGGATATTTATAAATATTTTCATAGCATATATACATATCGTCAAGTATCTCGCTGTTTTAAATTCGGTGTGAATTTGTTGACTTACCATTTAACAGAAGCACGTTCAGGTAACGTCTGCTGACAGAATAAATACACTGCAAGATGTAAAATAGAATTAAGCGAAGATTAAAGACGGATCTACAATTTATTTTCACTAATTATTATTGAATGTCAATATCGTAATATCATTTTAACAGAAGAACTCGAAAGATCTCGAAATAATGCCACGAAAGTGATTGAATCATTATAATATCACGTACGTTTCCCTTTACGCTATCATAAATGATTTCCTTGAGGCTTCCATCTTTGCCATGAAGCATTCTGCCACGCATACAGATACCATGCTGATCCACTATAGTTTTTTCAAGGCCAACAGCCTTCAAAGCTGCTCGTCCCCTAACCGACAGAGCCAAGTCAATGCTCTGCCCCCTGGAATCCTCCATTCTGATGTCTAAAAGAGAGTGAAACTCTTGTTGATTCATCTCTTCTCTCTCCAAAGAATCATCAAACATTCTTAACCATTACAAAACATCGCTTATACACCAGTCGAATATAATTAAATTAATTATAATATTTGGTCTAATGTAAACAAGAGTAGGCAATTTAGGAAGAAGATAATACAATCAGGCCTGTCCAAAATGTGGCTCGCGGGTCACATCGCTAGACGACATGGTACCCACCATCACTCAGTCCATTCTGAGGGGTAAGAATACGTGCGCATGCTGACTGTCCCCACTTTCGACATTCCCAAAATCCCTAATCATGGGATCTTGGTAGTAATAATTTGCAATGTTTAATTTGCAAGGCAATAATGACATACATACTGGTGAGTCGGGTGTGTAACATTTGCTGAATCCTCCGTATTTTTATTATTATTTATTTTTCTTTTTTGTACTTTTCCGTATTTTATTTGTATATTTTTATGATCTGAAAACCATGGAAATGTAAGTATCGATAAAGAAAAAGCCGGAAGTGGGGACAGTCAGAGCAAGTGCACACGCTTTCTTGCCTCTACCTCGTCGGGCTTCTTGTGGATATGGAGGGGGGTCATTCCCCTCGGCTGAAAGAGCAAGCCCGTAAGGGCACGATTCGATTGATTTGCGGGCCACGTGTTGGTCAGACCTTTACAAATGATAAAGAAATTATCAAGTTTAACAGATTGCTAGAAATCCATTACCAGAAGTTACACGAAACTAAATTAAAAACTTTAGACAGACAGTAAAAAGAGCCAGACACCGGTATTTTTAATTGAACACTTATATAAATAATTTTGCAAATGTTCACCTGCACGGTATTCGTACACAGACACAGCGTGTCCCCTTTTTGCAAAGAAACAGGCAGCCAAAGCTCCAACCTAAAAATCAAAATTCTTTTACCAATACCGATGAAAAATTTTGTTTAATAGAGTGACACCAGCTTTGTTTTTCTCTTATTTTAAGTTCCCGTAAAAATGAATTTTAAGAGAGAGTTGACACGCACCAAGCCACCCCCAACGATGGCAACTCGCGACTTTCGATCGACTACTGTCATGTTATTCCGTCTTGCACCGAAGCCACTGAGCAACTACCGGTCTTGACATGATCCTCATGTAAGTATATGCTGGGTGAGTCAGTTGACAGAAGCTCGACGAATAGCCTCCGTTGTCTTCGATAATGAAAGTAGAGGGAAGTGTAGGTATTGAAACGAACAATATTTCATGTTGAAAAGTATACAAGCTCTTGAAGATTAATTATAAAATTATTTAAAACATTATTACAAATAATTATTAGTAAATATATAGAACAAAGTTGTTATTAATTCTTTTATTATAGTTGGAAATTGGTCAAGACGAAGCTTTGATCGATTTCCCAATATGACAGTTCTTTAGGCCTACCTAAAAAACATTTATGTATCTTTGTTATTAAGAATAGTGCACGTAATGCAGCGTTATTACTACATAGAGTGAGTTTTCTTTTTCACAAAAACAGTACATCATTCATTCACAGTTTATTTTTCATTTTTATTTTTCATTACAGTATTAGGTGCAGAACTTTACACCACGTGTGTTTATTACTGCGGACAGGTGACAGCGTAACCTAACCTATTTTCAACCGCATTTACTCACTTAAAAAAGAAAGCTATAGAAAAAATGTTGAGTTTCCTTGGAAAAGTTTCTCACTATTATATTTTTATTAGTAATGTTCATATTGTAATAAGGCTTAATATAATACTATAAATATCTAATAAATTAATACTTTCTTATAAATAATATTAAATAATTATTCTATTTACAGGATATAGATGTTTATACTAATATTTTGCTTAACACAAGTCCGCAGTAATATACGCACCAATCAGCAGACAGTATTTAGCAACCGCCTTCACTTTAATTTTAACCAATCAGGCAAAATGCATATTTTCATGGCTTTTTCAAGTTCGTCAAATAGCCAGTCTACCAGCACCAGGTAAAGAGATAACATCATCTTGCACTCTGTATTCACTTGCATTTAAAACGCCGGAATAATAGCATAAATTGTATCGCGTATTATAAATCATCACCTTTCATTTCACTCAATAGTTTTATCAATAGTTTGTTTTGTTATCCGTTACCACTAACCCCTTGTCCTATGATTTTCTTGATGTTTTCAGTCTCCAGAATTACTTTATCATCAATAATTCCCCAGAAACAAAAGGAATTCATGTACTTATCGCAATTGTATATTTACTCTAAAAGTTAAATATTAATATCAGCAAACTAGTATCTCCCTTTGACTCAAAGAAACCAAATAATATTTCTGTTTATTGAATCCATTTTGATATCGTCACCACAAGTCTGACTCGCTGTTATAAGGCAAGGGGTTAAATCCACATATACTGTTTACATTTTTACTTCATTCAAAATTACTATCCTCCTTACATTAATTCGTATTAGAAATCGCAGAATTTCAGTATCAATGACAATCATAACGGAGATTTACGACCTTCGTCGACTACCACAGTCTCACCGTGAGTTCCCGCGAAAATACCGCCTGTAACCTTGTCGCATCTGTTTCATACAAACATCCCTCTACCTCACCGCTAGCCGAATGACCCAACGTGGTCTTTCACCACCGTCTGACGCCAGGTATGTTTACTCTGACGCACCCTCTTTCGAGGCCGTACTCCTTCCAAGGTCCTATCGTAAATTCTCCATCGGTCAATAAAACGACCGACCATCGACGCCGCTTATAAAACGTTTACACACCAACGATGTCAGTCGGCCGCGGCAGAAGGTGCCTCGAGGAAGCTGAAAACGGCGACGTCCTCGCCCCGGAACCGAGGCGTCGCGACGTGTCGGGAAGCGCGCGCGATCATCGGCGTGTGGCGACGGTGGATCCGTGTGTGACGGCTGGTGTGGCGTGGCCGTCGTCGTGGACCCGCGGCGCTGTCCGAAAAATCAAAAATAGCCGGTGTGCCAGTCAGTGCGGCGATGTCGGTGGCGAACGACGTTTCGGCGGTACGGTTCGGCCGGTGGTGGTGGTGCTGGCGGAGACGAAGGAGGAGTACTACTGGTACCTGCGGGCCAACGATGCCAATGGGACACACGAAGACGACGATCGTCCTTCTCGGTGTATTGGCGGTGATATGCGCCCTCCTGGGCACCGTGGACGCCGTCGCGAGGACGAAACCGGACGAGCCTCGGGGCAAGGGCGGTCACAAGGACGCGGAGCCTGTCATCGAGGAAGTCAATGCCAAGCAGCTCGAACGGCTCCTGAACGAGAAGGATTTTGTTGCCGTGTATTGGTGTAAGTGATTCTGCTAACTGGAGGATCTTAATGTTTTTTTTTGGCTGGTTTGTTATTCTCTTGGGAGGAATTCTAGGGTTGGTTAGAGGAAGATGATTCTTGAGGGTGAAATCTCTTTAGTGATCGTTGTTTCAACGTGTTTGGTCTTTTCTTCGCGGTTTCGAGGAATGTTGGTTGTTTGAGATAGGACTCTCGATGGGTGCGCGGATTTTCTTTTGATCAGTCGCGTGGATCACGTGTGCAGGAAGATCTATCTTAGGTTTCGGGGGGAGGAATTGCTTCGTGGTAGGTTCTATTCAGTTTTTATAATTTTCATCCTTTGTTCTGGTATTTATATGTTTCTGGTGGTAATATTTGGGATTTTGCTTGGGAAGTATTTCGATATGTATTCAACGGTCATCTTTGGATAATAAGTTCGTATTACTTCCTAAGGGGCGACTTGATGCCTTCGCGGTAAGATTTAAGGGAAGTTGAATATACATACACTTATTGTACCATATTTTGTGGGTATTTATTCTAAATACTTTGTAGCCAACAGTTTCGTGTTCTTTTAGGAAGTATTAAAAATACAGTAAATTATACAAGAAAGTTTGAAAGTTTAAAACGAATTTTCGCATATTTTGCACAACGTTGTTAGAATATTCTATTACGAATGCAAAGAACTTGCAATGGGACTACCATATTAAGAGTGAAATGGTATCACCTAGGCACACATTGTTACTCGAGAACACGTGCTACCCCACACGTGCACCTCGCCGTACACAAATATCCCAATTAACATTTGTCTACCCTTATTAAGAAACTCTAAAACTAAATCACGTTTGCAGTTATGATAATTCGGATCACTATTAAATTACACGATTCTCAAAACTCTTATTACGATTAAAGAAGGGATTCGATTTAAGAAGGGTAAACAGTTCGAACGATTCGATTATTGAGAATGATTTTCCGAACCAAAAGAATTCTGGCGGTTCAATGCTCTCAATTTTTGGAAGATATAGTCATGGAAATCAGTTCAGCAAATGCTGAACCAACGCAACGTACGCCGACACGTGGCGGAGCATTGTTCTTACGTAACTCGTCTATAGTGAGCCCTTTTATTTCTCGTTTGGCCATCGAATTCTTCGAAGTACTTCGCACTCTCTCATTCTCTCTCCCTCTCTCTTCTGCGGCTTGTGCATTCCTGTCGGTTCACCGACACCGTTACGACCCTCTCTCCCTCTCTCCACCTATTCTCTATCTAAAAGAACTAAGATAATTTAAGATACAATCAAGAATTCAATACCACAGCTTCACCTTTTCCGATATCTACATCATCTGGAGAACATTCGTAATTTCACTGAAATCCCACGTTTAATTTAATTTACTTTCTCGAACAATTTAAGCCCGGTAATTACCAATCAATGGTAATTTCAGTCACCTTTCTGTCTCCTAATGAATGTAATTGTCGCGTTTTTGGAACTCGATTTAACGCTCCATAGGTCGTAAAATTAAAAAACAAAATCGTTTCCTTTAAATTTCTATTAATCATTTCCTTTAATTCAGTATATCTGTTCTTTACTTAGGGTAAATCAACCAGTGAATGACCGAATTGTTGAATCTATGGACGTCTGGGATTACTACTTGAACGTATTTATTTATAACAACAAAACAGCTGTTGAAATTGCAATTACATTTATCATTCTTGAAATTTTTATAAAAATATTTACTCATTCTTATCCTCATTTAAAAAAAAACTATTTATAAAGTGCAAAACGTGTAAACGCCCAGTAAATGACTGCTCCATGTCTGCAATATTTGTATTAAGAATTGTACTTATTAATGTTTGCTCAATAAACTAAACTAAAAATATGAGATATTAAACGTGCATCAACACTCCATTTATAAAATTTAATAATTTCATATTTATAATTTATACATTTCTTTGCCTAATGGTCATTCACGTCAGGTATGCAATTAATTGCTGGTTGGTTTACCCTACTCGTTTCTAGTCACTATTAAAAAAAAATGTACTAGAGGCTGTTCATCAGCGACAAGAATTTCAGCGTTGATTATTTCTCGCGTTGTTCACTCGTACAAGAATTATTCTTCAACGCGCTGTTTCGAGGCCACGTTACGCTTTCTTCGTCGTCGGTAGAATTTTCTTGGCTCGCGTCTACCCTCCCTCATTCTTCCTCTCGGCGCGTCCTCTTCGTGTCTCTGTCTCTTTCTTTCTTTCTTCCTCTATCTCCCTCTTTCTGCTACGGTTCGCTCGACCGTCGCCGAATTATATAATTGGGTGGCCCCGTGTAGTGGGTGTCGATGAAAGCCAGAATCGCTGAACAGGACACCGGTCGGCGTCGCGGTCGTTGGAACAATTTTCTGCGGTACAACGAACAAAGTGAGACGTCGATACGGCGCAGCACGGTGGTCCGATGCACCGAGGCGAGAAGCCGAAAGGGGGTTCGCCCGTTATAAATAAATTTTCCCCTCCCCGACCGCAGAACGGAGAGATTGAAGCCTCTGTTTCTCGCGGTTCTGGTCGAGACCAAGTACGCGACGCACGCTCTTCTCGATTAACGTCGTCGTCGAATAATAAGAATCGAACGTAGGCGGGACGGGGTGGATTTTCTAGGGCAAGGTCAATTTCCGTGACTGGATATTTACGGTACTTCGTATACCAGACTTGTACCGGGTGGAATTCGTCGAGCGAAAATAAACCATTGGGTAGAGTGATAACAGTACAACGATGTTTTCGATTGTTTACAAAAAGAGGAATAATATTGCTTCAAATTGAACAGACTCTGGTAGTACGGGAACATACGCTTCTCCGATTGTTTACAATCCGTGCTTTACATCACGGTTACTTGGTAAACAATGCAGGTTCTTTAAATGTTTCTATTTTTCAAACACTTTAGAAGCCTATGGATGGAAGATTTAAGATTGACAATCGAAATAGGAGGATTGAGTATTTAATCTATCTTGTTTTATTTCTTTGCCTAAGTTTTCGCGGAAGCACCAGATTATTTGCAGTATTATTGTAATATTATTATTAATTTTGTATTTACTACGCTTTCGTGAAGACGGTAAGAAGAACGCGTGTGTCTTGGGAGAAGAAGATTGCACAAAAAAATATTGTTTACCTCGTGGTATGAAACACTTTCATATAATACCGTAAACATTTCTGTGAATTATTTCGATTTGGAATGCAAAATTACACGTTTAATCGTCTTATTAGTCGTCTTGTTGGAAAGAAGTAGGATCGAATTCAATGATCCTTAATATTTAAAGTCACCCTTCGACATTGTAATTTCGTTTTATTTTCACGGATGCACATTGACGTTGGCGAAACGCGTTCCACACGGTTGGTAATATACACGTCACGCTCGCGAATTACATTCGCATGACAATTAACAGGTATTAAATTCACTCCCTCTGCCAAGTCGCCGGTCCACTCTCAATAGGACAAGCCGTCTCGAGGCAGACGCAAGGCTTCGGTGATCGTCGGGGGGGGGGGGGAGGAGGGTTGTTACAATTGGTGCAAAAGGTCGATGTAATTCGACGATGTTGTTTTCATTTCGATATTCAACCATTTCATGGTGACGTATAAATTTTTAGTAGAATCGTAAAATTACAAAATTTGATTCTAATTTACCGTATTCACGAAATTTCATTGCAGTTATCGAAAAAAATACCGTGACACAGATTGGCGTACACACCACAGCCTACTTAAAAATGTCCCATAGATTTAATTGCTCGAAGACCACTGACTCACCGAGACACGTACAAACGCAAACGAGTCGCAATCGTGGTGTATTGTAACGCGTTGCCAGTCGTTGACTTGATTTCATCGAAATACCTCGGATATCAACGGGGTGTACCGAAATGGTGGTACAACTCAAGAAGAAATGATTCTAGTCGCAAAAATACGTCAAAAATGTAGGATAAAACTTTTTCATGCGATGCTTGGTTTTCGAGAAAAAAGAGTATTCGTGCTGGCAGTAAGTAGAAACAGACTGCAATGACCAGACGCGCCAGGCAAGTCCTATTCAATTGCACGAGTATCCAGTAAACATTCAAACTTGATTACCTCGAAAATGGAGCATCATACGAAAACATTCCATTGTACATTTTCAACTTATTTTTCGAAATTTGTCGAATCAAAACACCTTGGATATGATTCGAACAAAATTCTACCCAACTTTCTCGATTTCATAGTTAGCAGGCAGCACGGAAATAGCGAAAGATTTCTAGAGTCGTCTGTAGATCGAAGTAGATCACAAAATGCCACGGACAAAAATAAAACTGATATGTGTATCGGACAACCGGATTTATCAATAATAATTCACCGATCTATGAACTATCGTTGGTGTACCAGTGCCTCGAGAGTCGCTGGCAGTCGAAGTAGATCAAGACAATGGTGGCACGGGCAAAGAAGTACGTTCTATCTCTGCTCATGATATACAAGGGGTAAAGTCTTCGAAGGCATCACGCACACGTCTTGATCCCCCCCCCCCCCCGACGTGTTGGCGTCACTCGCGCGTTCCTCTCGTGATTCTCCCCTGAATCACGTTTTCATAATACCGTCTGATGTAACCGCGGACGCGTTAGAACACCGACGACGATATATCAAAAACCGTATACCATCGTCGAAGCAACCACCGGCAACCTTGCCAAGAAGAGCCATCAAACTGATCGTTTTTTTCATCCGATAACTGAATCACCACTTTTTCTTGTGACTTGACAAAAATGTTTGTTAAAATAATTTCTTCGATCGTTATCGCGTATCAATAACGGTGAAACGAGGTGAACTATAAGGAAGCCATTTTGAAGGCCACTATAAGGAAGCCAACAAGATCCAAAAAAATATATGCCCAGTAATTTATACGTAGAACTTAGAACTGGGGGACTTTTTTAATGAACTAATTTGGTGACTTGCTCTCTTCTTTCTTCTTAGTATGTGGATATTTCTTTGGAACAATTTGATATTTGATGTAGATTGTTGGTTTGATATGTTTTTC